TCTTCGCTGGGGCAACAACAGACCCGACTTCACTTATGAAAAACAAGTTAAACACACAATCACCAGTTGGGAGAAGGTGAGCATTAACCCACTGCATGGCCACACACCCACCAAACCCCTCTGCTCCCACCTCACCCCACCCGCCCAGCCACACTGTGAAAACCCGATGACAGTGTGGTTGTGCTGGGAGGGAAGGAAGCACAGGGCCAAGAGGAGGGACCCCGGGGACAGACTTTGGGGAGTGAAGGGAGGGGAGGGAGCTGGGAAGAGCTTCCTGGAAAAAGATACCACAAGCTAAAGGAAACTTTGCAAGATGAACAGGGGTTACTTGGCCAGAGAGAAAGGCCCCGGGGAAAGGGTGCTGGTGGGTGTGGGGTGGCAGGTCAGCCCCGCATCTCTGCAGGCAGAGGGGAGGCAGCTGCCCAGCAACACGCAAAGGACCTGGCGTGCGGGGCCCACACTGGCATTTCCTGAGCTCTGCTATTCCTATTGCCATTATTATCCTCCCTTCACAAATGAGGAAGCTGGGATTTGAAGTAAAGCTGCCGGAACCCAAAGCCAGAACTACCCCATGTCGTGCTTGCTAACACAGCTGGCCTTATCACCCCGCAGCCTCCCAGTCCCTAGAGGGCTGCCCGGGTGAGGACGCGACGGTGGCCAGTTGACTGACTGATGGATTGAATGGACGAGTGAAGGCAGCCCTGCTCCTCCCACTCGAGTTCTCTTCCCCGTGGAGCTGGCTAGAGGCACCACCCAGGCAGCCCATGAGTGAGAGCTCAGTGCCAAGACACATCCTCAGTGCAAAGGAGGGAAGGACCCATGCGGGATCAGGGAGGTAAGGAAGCCTGTGTGCAGGGCTGGAGATAAGGAGGGGCCACGGAGAGGCTGCACTGGAGGTTCCGGAACAATCACCTGTACTCGGATTCCTGCCCCCCGCCCCACCTTCCGCCAGGATGCTAGTCCCGGAAGTCTAGGCTGGAAGCCCAGGAACCTGCATTTTGGCGAGCTCCCCGGTGATCCTGTGTCCTGAGAGCAACCCCAGGATGAAGCAGAGGGCTGAGCATCTGACCAGGGTTCAGTTCCCACCTCCCTCTCGCAGCTCTGTGGTCTTGAAGGACTTTCTGAACTCCTCTAAGCCTCAGGTAAGAAAAGGCAGAAGGCAAGGCTTGAGACCCATTTATTTTTCCAGCTCTCAGCGGAGATGGTAATAAGGAAAGTGCCTGGTTAAAAGGCTACACATGTGTGTTTGGCCCTGGGGATGCAATAGTAAGTAAAAAAAAAATGGGGCTTGGCCCTGGGGATGTGAGGAGTGGGGTGACTGTTCACAGCCTGGTGACCCACCCAGGGCCAGTCAGTTCCCTGCAGGTCACAGGTGGCTCTGGGGAAGGGAGGGGGCAGCGGGGGGGGGGGGGGCGGCCTATAACCCTGGAACTGGTTGCCTGGCTAGAAGGCGGCTCCCGCCTGCCCTGCTGAGTCCTCACACCTCCCTGGGCCGGGAGAGCTGAGTCATGGAAACAGTTAGCTCCTCAGGCTGCACCTCACCTCCCTCCTCCTTCAAGCCCACAAAGGCTCCTTTCACGTTTGGGGGGTGGGGGAGGGGGCGAGGCTGTGGGGCCCTCTCCCCAGGCTGGGATGTGAAATTCAAACTTCACCCTGGAGTTAAATTCCCCACCCCCTGCCCCAAAGGAAACTGAGGGAGGAGGGGGTACCGAGAGCAAAGGACCTGGGGTGGGGGGAGAGGGCGCGAGGGGAGGGGCAGGAGGCCCCGGGCCCTTGCAGCTCTCACTCAAGCCACGTCCAGGGACCCTCTGTGCACCCCAGCCAGCACCCCTCGCCCTCATCTTCCTTGAGAACTCGGAATGGGGAGCTCGGAGGAAGTGAGAGCACCTCTCCGGGCACTGATGATGGAAGAGGCCTGGGGCTCACAGCGACTCTAGGCCCACAAAACCCACACCCTGGAAGTGCAACAAGTAGAAAAAAGGTGTCTGCCTCCCAGCCGCTGCCCAACCTCAGCTCCTTTTAGGGTCGCCTGACGTTCCTTTTCACTCTGATTTCACCCCGAACCTGATGGTCGGGAAAAGTAAGGGGAGCTCCCTGTGTGGCCTTGCGCGAGTTACCCCGATTTGCTGAGCCTCCGTTTCCTCCCAGCAAGTGGCACAGTGGCACCCACCTCCTGGGCTGCTAAGGAGAGTACGCGAGGCTCTGTGTACAAGACCCGATACGGTTCAAGCCAGTGTGGGTTCTCAACCTCCTTCCCACGCAGACACAGGCCCCGAGAAAATGTAGGACCCCGTGGTCACCAGATTGGTCTGGCATCTGAACCGGTTGGAGATCTGGGGACTTCGGTGAGCACGCTGCTGTGCGTATGAGTTCCTTAACATCTCTGTGCCTCAGTGTCCCCATAAAGCAGTGGGTGTGGGGGGCCTTTTTAGGCCCGAAAGGAAAAGGACAGCTTGGTGGGTTAGCAGGAAAGTGGGAGGCGGGAGGCGGGAGCAGTATCACACCCCGGCCACTAGGTGGCCTCGAGGATAACAGATGAGACCAGGCGGAGCGCACCCCTTCCAGCTCCACACTTTCTGAGTCCTCTTCTTGGCAGGCCTGGCGGACACCAGCCATGGCCAGGTAGGAAGGGCCCGTCTCCCCAGGGTCGGGATTCCTTTTCCATTTTTACAGACCTCCTTCCGAGGTAGGAAGCGGCAATCACTCTAACCAAGTGCTGACTTGAGCCGTGGCCTGGGAGTTGGATGAAGGCAATGGCCTGCCTTCCAGTCCTACTTCTGGAGGGTTGGATGGAGGCCGCAGGCAGCCTCATCCTGCCCCTCTGTCCTCCCTCCTGCCTGAATGGGGTGGGTGGGAATACAAATCAGGTCTAGATTCGGATCCGTCCCTCCTGCACTCCCTGGCAGGGTAACCTGGCAAATGGGGACAACGGTTTCCCATTGCATGGTCAGTGGGAGACACAGTCAGAAGGTAAGCATTCCTTTCTTTAAAATTTATTTTTTATTGTTGAGAGTATTATAGATGTGCCTCCATTTTTACCCCTTTGCCCCCCTCCACCTGGCTCCTGCCCCACCCCAGGCCTTCATTGGACTCTTGTCTGTGACCACGAGCTATGCATATATGCAGATAAATTCTTTGGTTACTCTCTTCCACCCACCCTCTGAGATCTGTCGGTCTGTTCCATGCTCCCAGGTCTCTGGACCTATTTTGTTCATTAGATTCCACACCTATGCTTTCAGGGTAGGACCCACAGTCTCTCATCCAACCCCACTTCCAAGCGCTCCCAGCTGCTTCCCGATGAAGTTTCCCAGTTCACCTGGGCGATCCTCCCCTGCAGAGCTTCTCCCGGGAACTCACTTGAGGGTCTTTGCAGCCGAGGAGGAGGTAAGCCCCAGCCACCTCTCCCCAGGTCGGCCTCGCTCAGAAAGACGTCCTCAGAGGATCTTCAGCGTTGGCCGAGCTGGTTCCAGCCACGGGAACGTGGGGCGGTGCGGCCTGAGCGCACCTTCCTGCAGACCCGCTGCCCCGCATGGCAGGGCAGCTCTCTGGGCCCCCCGCCCCCACCCTGGCCTGGACCCGTGGGGGCGGCAGGAAGCAAGTCCCATCAGCACTTTTCACCGGGGCTGCTTTTCAGTGAGTCACCTCCCAGACTTCCTGCAACAGACAGCTCTGCAGAGCTGGGTCCCACCCTCCAGCAGGGGAGACAGGAGGCTACAGGGTGGGTGCCCAGCGAGACCCACAGAGAGAAGGCGCTGCCAGCACGGCACAGGGGGCACGGGCTTAGGACGTTTTGTTTACAGGCTTTTGTTATTAAGGAAATTGCTGTCAGTCACGGTAATTCTAGCCCAGATGAGCAATAAATACGCTCCCACCTAATCTTATGGGGATTTTATTGGCACCTTGTGGGCAGAGTTCCTTTACCCTGCCCACCTCTTCTCCTCACAGCAAAACCCTGCTCCCCAGCTGTTTACCCCATCAGCGTGGAGCAGCTTTAGAAAGTGCACTCTAAGTGAAGACAGGAGACGTCTGGGCAAAGGCCGGGAGTGGCTTCCTGGTCCTACCTGCAGGCTGGGGGGGGAGGGGGGGCTGGGGGGGAGGAAAAGGGGGGAACAACGGCCTGAAATAAACCCTCGGCGACCTGGTTGGATCGAGGCGTGCGCGGGCTCCCCCGAACGCTGGGGCGGTCACCTGGTCCCCAGGCACCCCCGCTCCGGGAGACCGCGTCCAGGACCAGGGGGAATGTCTCGAGGAGGGAGCCGGTTCGCAGGAGTCGGTTCCAGCGCGTTGGAGTTACAGCTGCGAGCCCTCAGAGGCACCGCCGGCAAGTCCCTGCTTGCAAAGAGGGGAGCCAGCCCCAGGAGGACTCGCGTCGGAGCGAACCCGGGTGCGCGCCCGCGCGCGCGCGCGCGCCCCGCGACCGCGCAGGGGGAGGGGAAGCCGCGGCAGCCAGTCAGAGGAACGGGAGTGAAGCCTCCGACCAACTTTAACTGTCAATCAGACTTAATGGGGTATTAAAAAAAAATGGGGGGGGAAAACGGCCGCCTTCTAGTTCCGCGCCGCTGCCGCCCCGGGAGCGAATGAATAAGGCGGCGCAGACCCGGGTGTCCGACCCACGCGCGCTCCGCACCCGGGCCCTCTCCAAGTTGGGAAGGACAAAAAGAAGGCAATAAATGCTAACGAGGGAGAGAAAGGCAGCCGGATCGGGCGGCAACTCCCAGCCGCGGCTGGAAGACAGAGGGAGGGAGCCGGAGAGAGCGAGCGAGCGCGCGCCAGGGCGAGCCATGCACGTAAAGAAACTGACACCCGGACCCCCCACTTCTGCTGCACGTTGCTGGCAATCAGAGCGCGTTTAAGCAATTTCCTGAGCCCAAGAATAGCAATGAGTCGGGAGACTTTCGCGGGCTGAAATTGGGAGCTCCAAGCACTTTTCCCCCCACTTTTTTTTTTTTTTTTTTTTCCTGGAGAAGGGGTGGGGAAGCGCTACAATTTGGAAACAGCGCTTTTTTTTTTTTTTCATCTTGCACTTTGAAACCGCGGGCCTGCAGCAGGGTACGCGCGTGTGGTTGGTGCCCTTTTCCCCCCCTTCCCCTGCCTAAACTCCTCTGTCAGCCTGTAAACATTACCTGCGAATTCCCCAGCCGAAGCGGCGGCCGGGGCAAGAAACTTCTTGTTAGAACTTCCCACCTCCGGCTTCCCCTCCACCCCTCTCACTGTCCCAACCTTCGGAGACGCTTTTTCTCCTCCCCAAGAGGATTTCTCTTTTCTTTTTCTTTTTTTTCCCCTCTTTTTCTCACCCGGTGCCTTGCACTTGGGAAGAGGTGGTTTCCAGAGTGGCCAGGTGGGACTCCTGTCTGCCCCTCATTCCGTGTATTTATTATTGTTTGGAGGTGTTTTCTTTTTCGATTCCTGTTTTGTCCGGCTCGGGGAGTTTCGCCCCCCGCCCTGCCCGGCTCCGCGGCGCGGAGGATGGTGTGGAAATGGCTGGGCGCGTTGGTGGTGTTCCCTCTCCAGATGGTCTATCTGGTGGCGAAAGCGGCCGTCGGGCTGGTGCTGCCCGCCAAGCTGCGGGACCTGTCTCGGGAGAACGTGCTCATCACCGGCGGCGGCAGAGGCATCGGGCGCCAGCTCGCTCGCGAGTTCGCAGAACGCGGCGCCAGGAAGGTACGGGGGGCGAGGCGAGTCCGGCGGGTGGGGGCTGGAGTTGCTTGGGACCGCGGGAGCGGGGGGGGGGGGGGGGACGGTGCGCCCACCTGCCGCCGCCGCCCGAACCCACCCGTGCCCGCGCCCGGGATCTGAGAGTCGCCCGCCGCCCGACTTCTCTGCGCCACCCGCGAACGCTGAGCTAGTCAGTTTCACCTTGTAAATTTCCCGGGCACTGGACTGTCTGTTTTGGCAGGTCCGGAGCTGATCTGCTCCCAGAGGATCTGTGGCTTGGCTGGCTATTCACCCCCACCCCGAAACTTGGGAGACCCACCCATTTCCCACCCCATTCCTCCCTCCCCGGGAAGGTGTTGCGTTCCCCCTCCTCGCTTCCCCTCTTTGCAGCCACCGCGGCGAGTGGAGGGTGTGTGCGCTCCTGGGGGGAGCTGGGAGCCAGCGGCTGCTTGCTGGCGCTTCGTATTTTCCTTGGCAACCCGCTCCCCAGCCCCAACCTGGGCGGCTGCAGCGCTGGAGGCACGAAGAGAGAGGATACTTGGTTTGGGCTTGAAAAAAGGGGAAGTGGTCTTTGATGGTCTAGTCTGGCTTGACAGGCGCTGGGAGGCCCAGGTGTTTGGAAACCTGGAGAGAGGGGAACCGGCAGCTGATAAAGGGCCCTTGTTCTTACCTTCAGCCCTGTCCCCACCCCACCCCCCAATACAGCCTGGGAGGGGATCCTAGCCTCCCAGCGCTGCCTGTAACTTTTGGTAGTCCTAGCACCTCTCCCTCCAGCTTCCCCAGACCTGGTGCCGGGGAGTAGGGAGGGTGAGCCGGCTGTCACCCAACTCCGACCCAAGCCAGGCTGACTCACCCAGCCCTGCGAAGAGGAAGAGCAAAAACAGGGAATTCGTTTGAAACTTAAACTGTTGAGAGCCAGGGGGGGCGAAAAGGCCAGGGAAGCCAGCTGAGCTGACAGGGGGCCACATACCTAGGAGATTAAGTAAATATGTAGAAAACCAAACCTGCATGTAATTCCAGGTTGCTTTTGTTTTGTTAAATGCTGCCCTGAGATTTACAATTCCTCGGGGGTGGCTGGGACTGGGACTGAACTTTGGAGCCTGAGCTATCAGCCAAAGCTGATCACCATTTAACTCTTCCCTCGCCAGCCGGCGGGGGCGTCCTGGCCTGGCGAGCTGGGGTCTGCTGTCCGGGGCTCCCACTTCTCCTTGGGTGGTTTGGACAGCTGCTTGACCTTGCAGTTGGAAGGGGCGTTCAGCAGTGTTTTTAACCCTTGGACACACAGAAAAAGGAGAAGTCAGACTTGTTCTCGGCAGTTTCATTTCCTCGGGGTGATGCCCCCCCCCCCCCGAAGGGTTCCCCAAGCCCTTTTCGGAGGGGGTCAGGAGGGCAGAGGAGGGTGTCCTTGCAGGGGGACGTGGCGTTGAGCACAATCGCGTGTGATTGTCATTCCTTAGCTGTCTGCGTCCCACAGAAACTTTCTTCTGACTCTCCCAGCTGGCCCCAGTCCTGGGTCTCTCACTGCTCCTGTAACTGGCTGCAGTAGGCACATGAAGAACTCCTTTAGTCAATCTGGAAAAACTTGACTGACTATAAACAAGCCTAAATTGAAAGAAGTCTATGGCATTGCGGGGGGAGGAGGGAGAGTGTAGAGGGGGCCCTGCAAGTTCACACTCTGGGAACCGCACCCCACCTCACTCGGGTTGGACCGTCTCTTCCAGCGAATGAACCCAGGACCAATTGGAAATGTCTTAAAGTGGCACCAGGTCCCCAGAAACAGGATCCACGGGGCCTCCGGAACTCCCAGTGCCATTCGCCCTAGGTTCAGTCACCAGACCTGTCGGGATGACCAGGAACGCTCCCTGTAACTCATAATTATCCCGCCAATTACTGGAGCGACTTTTGGATGAGCTGTCCTCTCTCTGTCACACTGTCACGGTGGGAAATTTGGAATCTTGCCTGAGCCCATCTGGGCCCAGTGAGAGGGCCTTGGGACGCTCTCCAGACCTAGGAGTGTTTGGGGGCCCAGTGGACTTGGGGACCAAGGGGCAAGTGTGGTGGAGGGGTGAATTTCCAGGAGACTGCGGGGTGGGTGATGTGAGCCATGGGCCTTGGGTAGGTCCTGGAGCTGCTGGAGAGAGCTGGGAGGGCAGCGCCCCCTGCAGCCTGCAGTGAGGTTACACAGGCAGTAGTGTCAAACCACAGATGAGTGTCCCTCCTTTTCCAGCTTGGATTTGGGGTGGGCTGGACTCTGAGGGGGACAAGCCCCCAGAGAGAAAGAAAGGAGGAAGAGCAGTGTCTGCAGACAGCCAGCAGGGCCAGGAAAGGTCTGTTTACTTTTGGGGGCGAGTGCCTATCCAGTTTCACACAATGACCTTGAGCCCAACAGGATTTGGCAATATTTGTGGACAGTAGTGTGCCTTAGGCCGTAAAGGTGACCCAAATAAGGGCTTTTCTTAAAGGGACACAAAGGCTTCAGGAGTAAGAAAGGTCCCCACCATGTACCGAGGGCGCCACGGCAGGGCCAGGCAAGGTTAAGGTCTCTAAGGAGAAGGGTCTTCCTTTTTATTTTCCACATCCTCCTAGGGCTCCTCCCATGAAAGCATTTATAGAGCTCGGGCCCATCCCTCTTCCCCCCAAAGGCTCCTGGCCAGCTAGTCAGCTGGCCCAGCCTCCAAAGTCTTTGACCTTGACATGGTTTTTGCAGGAGGAGGGGGGGGGAGGAGGAGGAGAAGTGGACTGTTTGTTTGGAAGTATTTGCAGTGGCTGTTCCAGCCTTGGGTCCAGTACGAGGAAGTGGCTGGATCAGAGGCCTGATCCATGATGGCAGGCTTCCGGAGGCAGGGGCCACACACCAGGGCCTGAGCGCCCCATCGAGAAGGGGTAGAGCCGGGACTCAGGGACCCATTTCAGGGAGGTGGTGTGAGAACTGGCTCGCAGTTGCGTCTGCCTTGCTACTACTGAATGTACAGTGTGTGCGTCTCTAGCCCTGTTCCTAAAGCAGCTAACAGTGAATGAATCTCTGATGTAGATCTGCGAGTCCCATTCTCCATCACATCCATTCAGCAAATCCCATGTTCTTCTCCTTCCTGACACTGGGGCAGGCCGAGGCCCATCTGCCCCAGGACCGCAGCCTTCGAGAGACCTCAGCAAGCCTGCTGAGTGTCTGCCAGTGTTGGTGCAGCTCTGGGTCCAGGTTAAGGGGTGGATACAATAGATTTGAATAAAGACAGAGAGACGTGGCCAGGTGCTTACAGTGAAGGCGCAGATTACAGCGTGCATTAGTTTCCCGCGGCCGCCATCACAGATTGCCACAAACCTGGTGGCTTACAACAATAGCAACATATTCTCTCACAGCTCCGGGGGCCAGAAATCTGGAATCAAGGTGTTGGCAGAGCCCCACTCCCTCCAGAGACTCTAGGGGACAACCCTTCCTTGCCTCTTCCAGCCCCTGGTGACTCCCCGTGGCTCCTGGGTGGTGTCCTTGGTGTGTGGCAGCCTCTCTCCAGTCTCTGCCTCTGTCTTCACGTGGGTGTCTGCTTTGCCGCTCTGTGTGTCTGGGTCCTCTCATCTTCTTATGAGGACACACGCATTGGCTTTAGGACACACACTAAATCCAGTGTGACCTCATCTTGAGCTCCTTAACCAATTACCTTTCCAAAGACCTTTGTGGACGAAAAAGGGGCCACTTACGAACCCTGACAAGCTCAGGGGAGGCCAGCATGGCAGGCCCTGCGAACTCAGACGGAAGGTAACCACAGAGGGTGACCGGAACATGAAAATCCCTCAGGAAAAGTGAGTCATCGTGGTAGTCACATCCTGGGCCTGTGGTTTCCTTGACGAAGATCAAGCTTTACCTTAACGGAGCCTGTCCGTTGTCTTTTGCATCTAAGATAAGGTGCCTTTGAACTGTCAGAGGCATCTCCTTTTTCAGGCCCCTCAGGGCTCATCTAACCACCGGAGAAGAGACCAGAGACCCTTTACTGTTCCCTTGTTCCGTGAACACCATCTCTGCGTGCTGCAAAGATTAACTGCTAGCTTCCCGTACCCAGCGATGTAAGAGAAGTATGTGTTTCTCCATTTTTCTTTTTATCCAACCCCAGGGATTCCCTCTTCCCTTTGCGTCCCCCCCACCCCGCCCCCTTAATCTACCCGCATTGGATTTCATGTCACCCCCTGTGTCTCCTCCTTTGATTCTAGTGGAAAACGAGCTGCAAAACTGCCATTCTCCAGAGCGTCTTCTCAATTCATTGAGATTTTGCTTTCTGGCTGTTGTCAGTTTGGCTCAAATAGATTCATAAAAACATTCTCTACAAGTTTGGACATTTCCTATGTCAACACCCTATTTCCAAATAAGGTCACGTTCAGAGTTTCCAGGTAAACATGAATTTTGAGGGGACACAAAGCAGAGGGGGCCCCGTGGAGCTGTTAAACTAGCTCAGGGAAAGCTTCATGGGTGACATGGCATTTGAGTGAGCCTTGAAGGTCAACCAGCCCAGCCGGTGTGGCTCAGTGGTTGAGCGTTGGCCTATGACCCAGGAGGTCACGGTTCAATTCCTGGTCAGGGCGTATGCTTGGGTTGCGGGCTCGATCCCCACTGGGGGATGTGCAGGAGGCAGCCCATCAACAACTTTCTCTCATCATTGATGTTTCAATCTCTCTCTGTCTCCCTCTCCCTTCCTCTCTGAAATCAATAAAAATATATTTTTTTTTTTTAAAAAAGAGTCAACCAGAAGGGATGTAAGAAGGGTGATCTAGATGCAAGAAACCACCTGATTAAAGGCTAGGTTCGGGCTGGAATTGAAGGAGGGAGGAGGCAAAGAAGGAAACTATTGCAGAGCTTGAGAGGTGAGCAGGGACTTCGTACCTCACACTCAGCGTTGGGCCGGTACTGATGAGAACAGGAAAAAGGAGAGAGAGGAGAGGGGTTCAGACCGGTCATCTTATGGGACGACGCAGAGTCGTCAGGGCAAAATTGCTGCACTAAACAATCGGTATGTGATCAAGGTCACAAAGGCATGGGGAGCTGGGGAGATAGCAGCGCCATCTCCCCGACCCTCACCCCAAAAGCAGCCTTTGGTGGGAGTTTCTGGGAGAAGTACCAGGCTTCCAATTGGTAGGCAGGTAGGCAACCGTCCTACCTGCAACATGGAGGAAAAGCCTTTTCGCTCTTAGCATCCGGTCCTGAGGTTTCAGACAATGGGCCTCACAATTCGGCCTGTCCCATGAATAGACAAACACCTCCCTCTGTCCGCCCCACCTCCTTCCCCTGGGGAACAACAGCGGCCACCTCTAGGGTCGCGCCCCCTGCTGCCTG